TTTGGTCCCTTTATCTGGATGCTTTGGGAGTTGAAGAACTCCAAAGCTTATGGATGGTCTCTTATGATCATTATTCTTTTAAAAGTGAGAAAAAGGAGGTATGTGTAACATCCTGTATCAGATCATTTGAGATTAGGGTTTGTGGGCTGCAACCCGGGCATGAGGAAGTCTCGGGGTTGCGACGAGTTGCTAGAAGCGTAGGGCATATCGACACCTTTCCGTGAGTATGAGGTTCATTGGAATCAGGGTGATTTCAAGGAAGCTATGGAAGTTTGAAGTTTTGGCAGGATAAATCCCTCATTTGAGAAAGGTGGCAACGGAGTACGCTGGGCGTACGTTTGTGTACACTTAACGTACTCATGTACATGAATTTTAAGCGGAGCCAACTAGTACGCTAGGTGTACCAGAGGGTACGTTGGGTGTACCAGAGGGTACACTAGGCGTACTAGGCTCAGAATGATAAACCCTAATTGAGGGGTGTCCCTATATAAAGAATGAGATGGCATCATTCATGTCCACCATTCTCAGTTAATAAACCTTCTTAAACCCTAATCATCGTTCTTTAGCTTGTGTGTGTCCACTTGAGAGCCTTAAGTGATTTTGTGTGTTCTTAGAGTAAAGAAGGAGCTTTGTAGAAGAAGGAGTGAAAGTCCAGGCCTTGGATTTGAGCATATCTAAGTAGGGAGCTTTATCATGCGGTATAAAGCTCCAAGCTTTTTGACTCTTTTGTTTTGAGCTTCATATTAGAGTATTTCAGGGTTTTGTCCCAAAGTTAGAGAATTTATGAGGTATTGATCTCTAGAGAGTATGACCAACCCCATTTGAGTGTATTTAGTGGTGTTGTGTCATAAAAATCAAGCCTTGGACGTTGGAATCAAGCCATGCATGAGTTATGAGCATTTTAAGTTAAGAGAGTGAGTGTTTGGGTGTTTGTGACCATATCATCCATGCAAAGGCTTAAAGTCAGTGACTTTATGGAGTAAGGGCTATTAGGGAATCCATATCTGTGATTTGAGTCAAGGTCTTAACCAATTAAGACCAAATGAGTAGAAAGAGTGAATCTAGGGAGTACGCTGAGCGTAATTCCAGTACGCCCCACGTACTGCCCCAGTGTCCCCGATGGCCAATCTGGATTCGTGAGTACACTGAGCATACCAAGGGAGGTACGCCCCGCGTAAGCTCACTGTGGACTTTTGGGCTAAGTCTCATTTTTGGGCTTTGAGTGTTGGGCCTGTAGTTTGGGCTTGTTGCAATAGAGTTTTGGACCAGAGGATTATATATATATATATATATATATATATATATATATATACACTGGGTGGGTGTGTGTGTGTTTTGGGCCCTTCAATTGGGCTTGCCACTTAGATTTGAGAGTTGGGCCTCGGTAGAGCCCATTTATTATTGGGCATTGGTGGGCCCAATGGGTTTTAGGATATGGATGGGTTGGTTAGTAGACTACCTTTAGACCTAATGCGTAAGAGTTTGGACTTAGTTTCTAATTGGGTTAATTGTGGGTTTGGCTCAGAGTTAGAGGCGATGTGTAGCATCAACATTTATAGGGGTTGTTCAGCATTCGAGGCGAGTCTTCTCACTATAATTACCATGAGTGGTATCTTTGTGTGACTGAGATGTCTTATGTGTTTATATTGAGTACTGAGATATCCTACATTGTGTCTATGTGATTTATGTTGTGTATTATTCTGTGCTTACTGAGTTAGGATCGGAGGGTCCACCCGAGTTACGGGACCGGAGGGTCCCACTGAGACACATTGACCGAAGGTTCTTACTATGTTATAGCCTCAAGGGGCTAATGAGCTATGTGTGGTATTTTTGGGAACTCACTAAGCTTCGTGTTTACCGTGTTATGTGATATGTGTTTCAGATTTTTCTCAGGATCGCGGGAAGGCACCGGCTTGATTGTACACACCAGTGAAAGACTTATGTTTTGAGGATCCTGGATTTTAATCAAACAATTATGGAGTTGCAAGTTGTAAATTAAATAAATGAGATTTTTGTGAAATGTGTTATGAGAATTATGTGATTTTAAATGAAAATTTTTGTTTGAAAATTTACGTTGTTACAATATGATTCGAGGCCCCTGTGTTTATGCTCAAGTTTTGGCCACATTAAGGACTTAATCGAATTAGGGTTGCAGATCTAGCCTTATAATAGAGTACTAATGGTCAAATTTGGAAACTTTATCCGTTAAGTTATTGAAAAGAAGATATGAAGTTTTGGGCTTAGATTTGTAAGGATTAAGTACTTAATGAAAAATAAGGCAATTTTCCACTTCCGATGATGTAGCAATGGGCTTTCCATGACGTGGTAGTTCTCAGCTTCGCGATTATTTTGTCCTGATGTTCCCACGACGTGGCTAAGAGTCCTTCACGTCGTGGTGCGGGTTGACTAGGTTGACCGTTAACTTTTGTTCACCGCTGACCGTTGACTTTTGACCCATTTGACTTTGGGTAGAACTTGAAGGAATTGGGTTATTGATTATGGTTTTACCTTTGTTTGGTGCTAGCCGGTTCACAGGAATGATGAATGCACGGGGGTGAGCATGTTGCTGTATTTTCTTGGGTCTTTGATTCAGGTGAGTTTCCTCACTATACTATGTGTTACAATATATATATATACTTATATGCCAGGATATAGGAGTAATGGTATGTTGGTTAGAGTACCAGTAGGTTAGTGGTCGTCTAGCGGAGTTCCCTAGGGGCGGTATGTACATAGGATAATCTGAGAGCTATATCTAGGCTTTCTTTCATGTTCCTTGTTTGGTTATGGCTCTAAAGTGGGATAACATGTTCGAATGTCTTTCTCACCTTTGGTTACGTATAGATATGCATTCCTTGGAGTTCTGCCGGTAGTGGCATAGTGTACTGTATGATCCATGCTATGAAGTAGTGAGCTACTAGACAAGTAGACTAGTGTAGATAGTTGCCTGTGTTTATATGTTTACTTGATTGCTTATTTGTTACATATGTCGACATATTGGGTGGTGGGATAAGGAGGTACTATTTTGTGTTGTAGGCCAAGATACCCAGACAGGCCAACGGCGTACTGTAGGCCAAGTGTGGATCAACCATATACCGAGTAAGAGCGACCTATGTGTACTAGAGGCCTTGCGAGGCGATCCGGTCAAATTGTAGGTTCCGGAGAGCGGTCCAGGCATACTGTAGGCCTTGTGAGGCGGGCCGGATAGACTGAAGGCTCATGTGTGCATGCATCGTATGTGTATTGTGGTGTGTGGTATTTTGGGTGAACTCACTAAGCTTTGACTTATAGTTGTGGATTAAATATTTTTTTAGGTACCATTGGTGATCATGGAAAGGCAAAGGCGTGACTGTACAATGTACACACTCATCAACAATAATGGAAATTCCACATTATTTATATTAATCTAATTTTTAAACAACTATATTTGGAACAAATGGGTTTCCATAACTTGAGTTTTATATAAATGATGATTTTACCTTATTTAAAAATGAAAATTGTTCTTGTGAAAATAGAATTTACATCTACATAACTTATTAAAATGTATGTATAGTGTTTACAATATCTATATTAACAAATCAATTGAAGTTTGTTGTTATTTTTTGCATTTAATCATAGTTTTAGAAATATTAAGTATAATATATTAGTAAAAGTAGTACATTTTCAGCCTGTGTTGCATATGTAGGTTGCCAAAGAAAAACCCATAAACCATAAATAGGTTGCCTAATAACCATCAAAAAATGCTATAATTGAGTTTTTTTTTTTCTTATTAAAGCATTTTACTTTGAAAGTACATTGTTATAATTAGACAGTTTTTTCAAAGAATGCCCAATTATATCAATGTACCTCCAAAGCACAAGGATTTAATAAAAAATTAAATTAAAAAAAGAACAAGAAAGTGAAATGGATAAATGAAATAAAAACTTTTAAAATAGGATGTTATATTAACATATCAAACAACACTTCTGATGTTCGCGTACAACCATTTTAAATGAAAAAATTAATGACTAGAAGTATCAAATTCAAGTAGATTTTATCGAAACATAATGACATGTGAAATTATTGAAAATAAATGATAGAGATATGAAGCTCACTTTATCAATATCGATCAGAAACGAGGGTAGCGGGCGCGGGGAGGATTTGAAAACTAAAACTTAGGAACCACTTAAACCACCTTTAGTACCCCATAAGTAGTCTGGCATTATATAAACACAAATAAAATAATTGGAAAAACAAATACAGTATAATTTAAACTAATATTTATAAGAAGCCTACCTGCATGTAGAAAAATAAATCAAATTCAAGAGAAAAAAACTACATATAACTTTGAAGTTGATTTTAGGTTCTCAGTGGTGGTTTCCAATGACTGGTGGTGATTTTCTGGTGTCCGATAGATAGTTTCCGATGGCTGGTTTTGGTCTTGATGATAGGGGGCGGCATCTGATGATCGAGTCGATAAATCAATTAATTTAATTTTCAACTTCTAAATAAATAATACCCATATAAAAAAACTAAAAAATAAAATATAGAAGTAGTATAGTCTTGTCGATGTATGTCTGGGACTAAAACACAAAATAAAACAATAATAAACAAATAATAACCAAACAAAAAACTGAAAATAAAATTATAAAGGTAGTATGATCTTTTCATGTTCGTCAACGAATTAAACGATGCAAAACTAAACTTAGGAGCCAAACGAGAAATTTTATCAAACCATTATTAGTAATTTATTTTTCCGCATACCTCCACATATATTATCCTAACCCTGCATATTTTGACCTACACTTTCCCTTGAAATTACATACATCTTCTCAACCTAATTTTTACTTACATACAACCCAATTTCACCTCATCATCAAAACCCACAACATCAACATAAGTCATCATCAAGTTGAAAAAAAATATTCAATTTCCAGCGTAGCATTTTTTTTTCCAGAAAAAAGACCTAATTGTTTTTTACTAAATTTTACAATGTATTTTAGAAAAACAGTAAAAAGACTAGTCTCCAATTTAAAAAATAAGATGATAATCCTTGTCGCTGTCAAATTTTCTTATGCATCACATTTTTAAGCGAAAACTTCCCTAATTTCAATCTACAACGAAGATCAAACAGATTCCAATTTGCAATGAAACAACAAATCATCTTTTTCATATTACAATCCAGAATAAGCCATGACAGATCGAACAACTAGAAGTATTCTTCAGCTAGCTTTGGCAGCATTTGCGTCGAGCTCCACTGGAGGATTATGCCGATCAAATGGTAGTTTAATCCGGTTAAAAGAACCTACCGGTTTCAGTTTGACGTTCTCGCAGTTGCAAATCTCGATCATGAATCCATCTGGATCGTTGAAAAAAAGCTGATCAATCACCCCATCTTCCTCCCCTCCAACTGTTCTTTTCATGTATTTGATCCCCAAATCCTTCAATTTCTGCTCCATTGCTCCCATGTCCTCGCACTGAACAATTAATTGCAAACCCTAATGAAAAACAGAAACCGAAGAGTAGGAAAGATCGAGAGAAAAACATTATTAATTGATTAATTAAGAACCTGAAAGGATATGTGGTTATCCATGGGATCCAATTCATGGTTATTTGGTAACTTGTCTTCATCGTTGGCTTGAACCAGATGAATCCCTATTCCGTAATTGAACAACCAGGCGCCATCGAAATCAAACGCCTGTGGTCGCTCTATCAACGCGAAGCCCAACGCCTTGGTGTAGAACTCCACGGAGTCCTTGACTGACGTGCAGAGCCTCGACACATGGTTTAGCGACATGAGAGGGAGCTCATGTTCATGTTCAGCTTCATCTTCTTTGGGTTTGCGATTTTTATTGTCTTCCGATTTCCTCTCCATATTTGTCCTCCTCGAATTGGGATAGAGGTTTTGGCAGGGTTTTATGCTACCAGATGCCGAAGATCCGGAATGTGGCGGTTGATGACACCTTGACACGTAGTATGACGTGAACATTTGGGTTACGCGTGGACAAGCTTGGAAGTGACGCGTGCTAGTGTCGCATTTTTAATGACTTTGAGCGTAAGCTAGGTTCTCACTCTCTCATGATCAATCTTCAAAATTACTAATTCTAATTTATATCTTTAGGGTATATTATTGGTTTTTTACATATTTAGTTGTTGATTCTTTTGTTCATATTTTATTTATGAACTTGTTGTTGTGTGTAAATTAAGTTTTTATTATCGGTTGATGTCGGTTAAGCCGGTCATTTTGTGAAGAAACCTTATTTATGAAGAAACCTCATTTACTAAGAACGGTTACGGTTCTATTCTCTTTATTCTCACCATCCGTTCTTGATCAGTGCCTCATTACTCACCATTCTCTTCTTTCAAAACAGTACTCTGATTCAATGGAGGAAAATCAAGCTTTTCCAAAAGTCGATGTACACTATAATGGTGCTTTTGTGCCTAATACATTAGTGTATTTTGCTCCAGAAGTACTGACTGAATGAAGGTGCAAACGAGTTTGTTTTCTCCGATTTCATCAAATATGTTGAGAAGCTTATCGATTTTCAGTGCAAGCATGTGTATTTCTATATACCTGAAGTGAGATTGAGTGAGAGGCTCCAAACACTACAAAATGAATGTGACTACTTTGAGTTTCTTGAGGTTGCAAATGCTCATAGACATCTGGATGTGTATATTGACCATAATAATGAACCTATATTTGAGTGGATTCAGAAAGAAGAACCAGACGATGAAGAACTTGTGTATTCAAAAGAAGATGTCAACTCTGTTTTGGCAGATGATGAGAACTGTGAACATGAAGAGGATGGATTTGTTATATCAAGCAAAAGAATCTTTAAAAGAGCCTATAATGATAAGTTTTTGAACAAGTTATGTCCAGTAATTGTTGTAGATTAAGATGAAGAAGGCAATGAACTTCCAACTATCTACCCTAGGCATGATGCTACTCAGGATTGGAGGAAGATGAAGCCTGAACTAGGTATGAGACTCTTTTCTCATGCTGAACATAAGTCATCTCTCAGTAATAAAGTCCCTTAGAGAAGACCATAATTGCTCAAGGGCATTCAAACTTTGGTCAGTTGTTACCTACAAGTGGATAGGGAAACAGTTTGTAACTGATATTTTGGAGTTCCCTAAAATGAGTTTGAGGAAGATGAAAGCTATTGTATCCAGGTTATTCAATATAAATGTTAGTGTTGGACAATGTAGGAATGCAAGAAGATTTTCATTGTGTGAAATTGAGGGTGATTTAAAGGATCATTATTTTAAGTTGTGGGAATATAGTGTTGAAATTAAAAGGGCCAACCCAGGATCTCATGTTGAAGTGTATGTGCAGCCCCAAAGTAATTCTATTGTGGTGTTTGAAAGGTTTTATGTGAGTTTTAAAGGAGTGGTTGATGGCTGGTTAAATGGGTGTAGGAAGGTTATTGGGATAGATGGATGTTTTCTGAAGGGCATATGTAAAGGGGAGCTCCTCTCAGCAGTAGGCAGGGATGGCAACAATAACATATACCCAATAGCATGGGCAATAGTAAATGTTGAGAACAAGAGTACATGTAAGTGGTTCTTGGACAATCTAATTGATGACATAAATGAAGGGGGAAATGATAATGAAATCACATTGATGTCAGATGGACACAAGGTACATATACACAAATTACCTTTTACACAAACTAACATTCCAAATCAATGCAGGGTATAATGGAGGTTGTGAAAGAAAGATGTCTAGAAGTTGAGCATAGGTTGTGTGTTAGGCACATCATTGCTAACTTCAAAAAAAATTAAGGGTGATTGCTACATAAAACCTTTTTGGAGGGATGAAAAGGCAACTACAATTCAAAATTTAGAACTTGCAATGAAAGAGATCAAGAGCTTTGATGTAGGGGCATATGATTATCTCATTAAAAGGGACCCTAACTGTTGGTCAAGGGATTTTTTAAAGGTGGGAATAGGATGTGATGCAATGGAAAATGGTGTTTCTAAGAGCTTCAATGCTGATATTAAAGAAGCTAGAAAGAAGCCATTGATCACTATGTTGGAGGACATAAGGGTATTTGTAATGGAGAGATTATACATGCAGAAAGGGAAAGGATTGGGCTGGAATTTGGTAATCTGCCCAACTATCAGAAAGAAGCTTGGTGAACTAAAGAAGTTGATAAGGTTAGTGGATAAAAACAATTTTACTTACTTTTTGTACATGCAAGTGCTAACTAACTTTTTGTAATAACAAATTCTAGGCACCATATGTTAGTGGATACATACAGTTTGAAGTTGTGCAAGGTGATGAAAGGTATGGTGTTGACTTGGAGAAGAGAAAATGTGGATGCAGAGGTTGGAAATTGACAGAAATTCCTTGTGTACATGCCATTTGTGCCATATCTTCTTTGAATCTTGATTTAGAGGAATATGTTGCAGAGTGGTTTACTAAATCTGCATTTCTTAGGGCCTATGAGTACACTATACATCCCATGAATGATAGTACCTTGTGGCCCTACATGCCTAATGTTCACCAGATACTACCTCATATTAGGAGGAGGTTACCTGGTAGGCCATGTGTGAAAGAAAAAGAGACCAAGCAAAAAATGAACTCGGTAGGAATACAAGACATACTATAAGCAAGGCAGGTGTTCAACACATAGGTATAATTTGTAATGAAACTGGACACAACAAAGCTACATGTCCAATGAGGGGTCCTTCTGAAGCGGGTCCAAGTAAAGAAAGAAGGAAGAGTAATGCAAAAAATTGTCCTTCACAAGCAGGTCCAAGCACTCCAGCTCCAAGTGCTCCAACACATGTGAATCAAGATCCTTTGGCTCAAGAGCATGTCAATCAAGATCCTGCCATTCAAGAGAATGTCCCTGTGAATCAAGAGCCTGTCATTCAAGAGAATGCCCATGTGAATCAAGAGCATGTGAATCAAGATCCTATTAATGAAGTACCTATTAACCAAGATCATGTAAATCCAGTACCTGTTAACAGAGTGCCTGTGAATCTTAGTGTTAGAGTGCCTAAGAGTTTTGGTGTTAGAGCAAGGAAGCCTTTAGAGAGAATCAACAAGATACAAACCAGAAAGCAGGTTTTTCGAAAGGATGGTAAAGGACTGACTGAGGACAACCCAATTACTTTAGAGTGATTAGGGTTAGTTGTTTTCTTTTGCTTTGGAAGTATGTAATATTATACTATGTATCGTGACTTTCTTTTGTTAATTGGGCTAGCTTTTGATGTAATTGGCAATACTACCCTTGCTTGTAACCTGACAACTTTTGATGACATTTAGCTAATAGAATCGGATATGGTATCCTATGTCAATTGTGTTTTGTCTTTTTCAATCTTTATTGGTATTAATGCATTAGTTTATTAAAAATCTTGTTATAATGAGAATCATATGTCAATTGTCTACTAGGAATAATGTCCTTGTCTTTTGGTTGTTGAAATTGCAACCAAATTCAATTATCAATATCATTGTCTTTTGGTTGTTGAAATTACAGCCAAATTCAATGTAAATTACATTTTAATGTGTACCATGTAACATTTCATTCAATATGTAAACTCCATTCAATACATTCAATATAAACGGTTTAATACATTCCATATAAAACATTCAATACATTCAAATTACCAAAATTTAATTCATCATACCAAACTCTATTCAACTGTTTTCATATAATATTACAACTGATTTCAACCCCATAACTATATGCTTTATTCTTCAGCTCTTGAACTTCTTTCTTTAAACATGCAACATCCTCTTTAACTACTTTAACTTCTTGTTCTAAATTAGGATTCCTAGTTACCGATTCATCAATCCATTCCCAATACTTACACTTCTTACCTGGTTTCTTCGAAATCAAATATAAAGATGGTAAGAAGATCAAAATCTTTATTTATTTGAAGGAGAATAAAAAATATAAAGGGAAATCAAGATCGACAAACCAAGGAATTGGGGAAAACTTTGAATTTTTTGTTAGGGTTGTCTTTAGTCTTGGATGTGCATAGTCGAACTGGGAGTCGACAATCCCAAAGCTCTTCTTTCCCTGTGATGGAACCAGATGAACTGGGAGTCGACATCTTCTTCTTCGATTTTGGGTATTCGAAAGTTTTTTTTATTGAATTTAGGGTTAGGAATCGTATTATAATCAATGGAACTCAAAGATGATCCACGTAGGAGTGTTTTCCTTTAATGAGTGTCCACATAGGCAGCCATATCAGCAAATATGGCACCAACCGGTAATAAGAACTTAATTAAATACAACAACAAGTTCAAGGGTAAAATATGGACAAAAAAATCAGTAACTAAATGTATACAAAACCAATAATATGTTACCATTTTAAGTCATTATCCCAAACTTTTATTATTGAAAGTTTAATTATGAATAGGTTTAATTATGAGCAAGTATAGAATACTCGAGTCAATAATCAATTATATATAAAAAAAGACAATAAAATGCATGTAAACATATCAAAATCAAAAGAGTGTTGAGTGTTGATTTTTCTATTTTCTTAAAGACAGAAGTCTACAAAATATATAATAGGGGAAATAATTAAAGTCTATAGGCTCGACTCAAGATCATCGACCGCGACAATAATCAAAACTCTTATCATTTAATGTTTTAGCGTTTATTTAAACTACTTTTATTAGCAACTTAACTCAATTTAATATTTCTCATACATAAATATATAATCAACTAAATATAATTATTTGTATGTATTAGCAATCAAATATAATCTATTTAATAATAAAAAAATATAAGAAAAACACGTTACTATTAGTTTCTATTTATAAAGTAAAATTATAGATTTTAATATATATCGTTTTATTCATATAAGTTATATTTTATAGATTTCTTTTAAAAACTAAAAGTTGTACCACCAATAATTGTGAGTTTATGACTAAGCATTTTTCCTGGTGGATGGAGTAAGTGTAGACGGTAGATGTCTACATAGACATCCGATTTGGCAGGTTTTATGGGCTGTAAAACCACCTAGAGATGAAAGTGGGTTCAAACCCGAACCGAATGGACTCGGATCCGGAAAACCCAGAACCGATTAATGAGATTTTGAAGAACCGGAAACCGGACTGGTATGTAGGAACCGGTTCCGGTTTGTTTCCGAATACGGTACCGGGTAAAGTGGGTCTAGAACCGGAAAAGCCAGAAACATCAAAGTGGGTAGGTTGGAACCAGATAAAGTTGGTTTAGAACCGAAAAACCCAGAAAAATCGAATTTTTTTGGTAATTACTTACTACTTAGTAGGTTGAACTTTGAAAATTTTCATATTGATATACCGACTTTGAGTGATAGTAACTCATTGAATATGAAACAAAAATTAACAAAATTATAGTCTAAAATCATGTCAAAAATCTAAAATACACTCTGGAAAAAACCGTTTGTCAATCCGACTTTAAACGAATGAGATATGCATGTGTTAACATTTTCACAGAATACAAAGTACAATACCAAATAGCTAAAAAATTGAAAATTTTCAGTTTTGATATCCCGACTTCGGAGGACTGTAAATCATTAAATATTAAACCAAAAATAACAAAATTATAGTTTAAACTCATGTACAAATTGTAAGCTACAAGTTGGAAAAAACCACATGTCAATCCGACTCTAAACGAATTAGATATGTATGTTTTAAAACTTTCACCGAATACAAAAAAACTAAAAAACTAAAAACTTCCAGCTTTGATATCTCGATTTTTGGGGACTGTAAGTCAATTAATATAAAACTAAAAATGACAAATTTATAGTCTAAAATCATGTACAAACTCTAAACTACATGTTGGAAAAAACCGCATGTCAGTCGGAGTTGAAACGAATGAGATATGCACATTTTAAATGTTTCACAAAAACCGGTTCCGGCCCTAAAAGTGGTTCCGGTTCCAAACACAGGTTCCGGTTTTTAGACCCGGTTTACTCAGACCCGATGGACCCAAATCCGGATTACCCGGAACCCGGATAAACCTAACTTTTAAACCCAGAACTGGAACCAGTTTTATATATTCCGGTTCTAACGATTCCGGTCCCGATCCAATTCCGATTCCGATTCCGATCCGATTTTCCGATTTTAAATCACATCTCTAAAACCACCCCATGTATTTTTTTTCAGCGGCAAAGTGTCGAAGAAAAGTTTGTGCCAATGAATTTTGGACAAACTACTATGAATGGGACAAACGATTCTTAGAACCAAACTCAAAGGTTTTATTATAATGGTGGATTTAATATTATAGTATGAAAATAAGTTTTTTACGGATTAAAAATTTAGCTTTTTTTATGAGAAATTAAATATTCTTTTATTTTTTGTTTCTATAAATCCTTTTACCAAATAAATGGTATTTAATGTTTATTTAATGAAATTTAATGATAATTTAGTATATCAATATGAAATATGATATATTTTCATCATTTAAATGAATAAGAGGATTGATCGAAATAAAAAATATGAGGATATTTAATTTCTTTTTTTTATTAGAAAAATTGAGAAAAAAGTTTGTAATAATTTTCAAAAAAACTATTAATAACCTGCAAGTCAGTTTAAAAAGTTTGTAATGTTTTTCAAAAAAACTATTAATAACCAGATTCAGTTTATACACTAACTGGTTATAAAAAACCAGTTCGGTTTTAAAAAAAAGTCAAAGAGTGTACCTCTAACTTCCAATCCGATCCAATTATAATTCTATTGGATCGGTTTTTATAATTCGGTTTTCAAAACCGAAACATTCTAAAACAACATATAATTATAATATTATCCAACTTTACACAAGAAACAAAACAAATTATATAGTTGTGATTTGAAATTTATAAACAACTAATAAGAAGATATATTATAGTTAAATATTTTATAAATAAAAAACTTTTGAAAGAAAATACATATTAATGTTTTTTGTTATCGTATGAAACGTTTTAAACCTATTTAAAAAAATAAATTACAAAATTAGTAAATAAGTATATATATATATATATATATATATATATATATATATATATATATATATATATATATATATATATATATATATATATATATATTATAAATAGATAAATAATAAATGTATATTTGGTTTTTTTTGGACTATTTAGTTCTTATTTTTATAAACCAAAACAAATCCGAAATCCAAAATAATAATTCAGTTTTGTTGAAAAACCAATCCAAAATCCGAATATCCGAACCAAATAGTTCAATCCAAAATGTCAAATTGGATAATTCGGTTTTAACCGAATATTGAACAACCCTATCGAGGGCTAATGAAAAAAAATACCAAAATATATATTAATGTCGAGTCCCTCGGACTCAATGACTGTTTTTGGTAAAATAATATCTTCGATTATTTTTTGGAACGTTGGGTTAAAAAATGTTTACATTTGTATAAAGACAAATAATTAAATAGGTGTTAAATTGCCGTTCAGAAAAAAAAAAAGGTGTTAAATGGAGACGATGTGGTTATGACTTATGAGCTTGACCTCTTTGACTCGTTAACTAGTGATACAATGGCCAAATACTTAAAAGATGATCGGTGAAGTTCAAATAATCGATATTCTAAAAAATTTGAGCTTCAACAAATATTTAACTAATAAGCTCAAAGTAAAACCCGCTGGACATATTGTTGAATGTCGTTGTGGTTAATGTGTCTCGGATTAATAACAAAAAAACAAACACGATCACGAAAATGTACGTCATTAATTCTAAATAGAAGAATTAATAAATCCAAAATCAACCTAATCGATATCTTGAACCATTAAGAGGTTTCCCAGTCAAGAAATGTGTAACCAGTCCAAGTGCGCTCTTTGGTTTGTAGCTTGGCACCTGGTGACCGGCTCCAAGCACTGTGGCGAATGTTAGATCTCCTTCATAGACTTGAGCAAATCCACCCACCTGTGGTTTAATTTATGAAATCAATTTCTAATCAATAATCATCTACTTCTCGTATAGAGAGCATCATATCTGTCTAAATTAACCATACCTTCCCTTGATAAAGCCATGGATGCCATGGAGTCTTTATGGGAAGACCCATTGAATTGATGGAATACTTGGTTGAGGTGACTGGCACCCTTGCATCAGTATCACCACTATATATATACGCAAGAAAAAGCACACTTCATGATTAATTACTTGATTTCCCATATCCAAATACAGTTTACTATAAGGTTAATTATATACCTGTATATCCACACGCGAAGGTTATCCTTCATGAATTCTCTAAGGAGTGGAAGCATCGTCGAAGGGCTATCTTTCCATATGTTGATGACATCGCTGCATGGTTCCCAATCATGATCTAGCTTTGTGACATTGGCATGCAGAGCTTCTTGAACATCTTGACGATTCATATAAACATACGTGTAGTGTTCGCTGCATGGATCAATAGCTCGCGACTGATGCATGCACCAAAAATAGAAACAGATCATGTTTCATCGTTAATTTTTGGATTCAGCTATATATAATGTTCATGAAGATTATTGACTTATTACCATCGGCTTCGGCTTGGAAGTAAGAATTTGTTTGGAACATACAGGCGCGTAGATGTTGTAGATATCAATATTGACAATATTTTGACCAACTTCAGCGTTCGCTTCCAAGCATTTATCTGATTGTTTGGTTGTATTCGGGGAAAAATCACAATATATACGAATCTGATCAAGTATTTCATCTGAAACAATAGCATGTGAACCAAAGTAATCATACATCCCTATCGTATCAGTCTCATCGTTGATCACCGCGTTCCCAATCTGTATTATATCAAATGCAACATCAAGTTGATCAAAAGAAACTAAACGACTAAAGAATTCTAGATATCAATTACTAAAACTCGAAAAAAAGTAAGGAAGAAAGAGTTACAAGGATCCCCTTCAGATTGATTAGGGTTTTGTTGGCCATCTTGTTGTAATAAAGAATGGTATGTGCAAGCTGAGGCACATAGTGGCCAGCATAACTTTCTCCTGAAATGTAAAATTCTCTTTCTTTGTACTCTGGAAATCTTTCCAGCCAATTCAACAAGAACAAATAATTGTCCGCTGCTGTTGATTCGTCTCCACAGTTAATATAATCTGATGACGAGTTTGAATAAGAA